CGTCGAAGGTTAAAGTTCCATTGGGATGTATGTCCGTCTGTGGACTTGAAGTAAGCGAATGCGGTTCCGTTTGAGGGTATCTGGTGGAAATGATTGATATGTGGCGGTTGGGTCGAGAAGGACTTACCAGCAATGGGTCAACGTACCATGCACCGCATCGTAGATTAGCTATACAAAAGTCTATCACCTGCCCCACTGGATCAAACAAGAAACGTCTTACGAATGACTGGTAGAGCCCCCGACTGCGCCACTCGGTTCACAAACTTGGAGTCTTGATCAATAGAATGCAACCGATTAAAAGTGTTTGTCATCTCCTGACGGAGTTCATTCAACCCAGCAGCCCGCAAGTCGGTCATGACGAAAATAAAGCGCGTTCAATTGAGCCTCGCGATGATCGGCGAGACGAGCCAATCTAAACTAAGCGCCCTCCCAGCACATTTTTATTTGTCCTGATTATCAAACCTTGGTCCCACCACGATCTCAAACAAAAACACAGAGCCCCAAATTCTAGGCCAGGCCTCGATCTCACTGGCCATATAACCCCACCCCAGCCAACTCATCCCCGTTCGCCACCAGTAAGTCAATCTCAACTTGATGTCCACAGCATACTCACAACCCTCCAGTGAAGAACAAGAACAAGCAAACCCGTTTTCCAGTCGTGCGTACTCCCGATTGGGAAACGAGCCCAACTAATCGCGTGCAGGACTTGTCAGGCCCGAATCAAGAAGATCATGCAAAAGGATGACGAGGTGGGAAAAGTGGCTCAGGCGACGCCGATTGTGATTTGTGAGTGCGGTATTGGGACTGCTATTTGGGTGGATACTAATGGTGTGCGTAGCCAAGGCGCTTGAATTGTTCATGGCCGACCTTGTTCAGGAAGGAAGCAACATTACGATTCAGCGTGGCGCAAAACGCCTAGAGGCGTACCACCTGTAAGTCTAGACCTGCCTCGTGCTTGCAATTCATCGTGGGCGTGGTGTTTGCCCCTTGTGCCGGGTGGGATTCGCATTTTGCTTGTGCTGGGGATTGGCATTTTACTCGTGCTGGAGGTTCACATTTTACTTGGGCTGGTGGAATTCACATTTTACCTCGTATTTCATTTCACCAAACTCACATTGCATTGCAGCAAACACGCCATCGAAACCATCGACACGTTCGACTTTTTACGCGAGATTGTGGCCCCCGTCCCAGACCCGACCAACGGCGGCCAGATCCCAGAAGACGGCGGGAGTGACGATGGGGCTGCACCGCGAAAGCGCCGTGCGCGCAGGACCAAGGCCGAGATGGAAGCCGAGAGAGCGGGCGAGTGATGTGATACAGGGCCTGGAAGCCTGATGTGCAGTTTCGGAGGATGCAAGGAGGATATCCGGATTTGTGTTTATTTTGTGTGTACTATTGAGTTGTCGAAATCTGATGTATGACGTTAAGGTGGGCCGACGAGGGATCTCACGGTGGGATTTGCAAACAAAACATATATATTCAAGCCGAGAAAGGAGGTCATGGACAGGATAGCATATGGATGGAACCCAATCAAAGACACATCGGCGACGGGGCCAACGGTCGGGGGAGAACATTTCAGAACGAGCTCTCAAGCAACGCAGATCCCGAGCTCATGTTCAGTCCAGTTTCGTATCCAGTCCACGAAAGCCAATCGCAGCAAAAGAGAGACAATCGTGGACCCGGTGTCAGATTCTCCCCCTTTATTCCGTGCAGAGCTGTGTTTTGGGTCACGAGCAAAGTAAAGACTGTAAAAGGTGAGTGGGTGTGGCTACAAAGGAGACGAGACTCACCGATAATTGAATAAATGACTCGCCGACACCGGTGTACTACTCGGGTTCGAGCTTCTCGCCACGAGCGAGGACGCGGATGACCTTGCCGGCAGGAGGAGCCGTGATTGCAGGAGTAGGTTTCTCAACGAGTGCGCCGCGGCCACGGTTACGCCCACCTGGAGGTCCACCCCCCGACCGACCTCTCCCTCCCTCTCCGCCACGTGTGCGGCGTTCGCCCTTGGTTGGGCTACCACTCGGTTTCTCCTTGTCAACCTTGACGACCTCAAGTCCGAGCTTGGTCGACCACTCGCTGACGAGCTCTCCATCAACCAAATTGTCGTACCGTCCTGAAGAGGCCGTATCCTTGGCATCCACAACCGCAAAAATGACTCGCTTGCCGTCTGGTGCAGAGCCGGCTTCCCACTTGGCGCAGCACACCATGCGCTTCATCCACTCGGGTGCGCCCGCACCTTCGACTTTCCAGCGCGTATCAGGTTGGTTCGGAATTGAGCTAGCGCCGGTAGCGGATTTGGCAGCGATAGAGTCCCAGGGGACGAATGCATCGTCTCGCTGGACACGGATACGGGGATTATTGCCGACTTCTTCTTCGAGTACGCGCGAGGCTGCCCGAGAGCGAACGGCAGTCTGGTTCGTGCCCGACTTGAGCACGTCAAGCGTGTTGAGAGCTAGTGATATAAATAAGTCAGAGTCGACAGAGAAGCGCAAGACCCACCTTCGAGCGGAATGACAACTTGCGTCTGGCCATCGTGGCACCACCGCTGAACAGCTCCGAGAGCATAGATCAACACACTGGCATCGACGACAATTACATCGGCCAGGGGGGTGTTCCTGTTGCGTCCGAGGGGGATACGGGGCCGGGGGGGAGAGGCAGACTCGGAAGCCGTGTCGTCACTCGACTGGGGGCGCCGCCTCCACGAGTCTTCTTCGGGCGTATTGTTGATGCCAAATGTGGCCTTGGTCCTCGCACGGTCAAAGTCGGGATCGTACTCGTCCCGCTCTCGGTCTGGACGACGAGCTCGCCCCCCTCGGCCCCGGGAGCTCCTGTTCCGCTGGTTGCCTGCATTGCGCTCCAATTCGGCGACTTGATGGTTCAGGAATGCGGCCCCGAGTGCGCGGGACATGGATGTTCTGTTCTGCATGCCACGGTCAGGGGTGTTCATATCAGTTGTGCAAAACATACTCGGTCGACTTGCGGGTCGAGTACTTTAGACATGGTCGTAAAGTACAGATGATGGTCGAGCACTGATGCTGTATGCGGTGCAATAAAGGTGCCGTGGTCGTGCTGTGCGTGTGCTGATCTCCCGCAGTAACTAGTCACATGAGGTCAGAAGACTACACACGTCACCACAGTACCAAATACGGCGTGTTGACCCGAGTAGCGGATCTCACCGCCTGTTCGAGATCGGCCTTTCGAAAGAGAATTTATTAGCGTCGAAAATGTGCATTGGTGGCAAAAATCGTGGGAATCCCGAGTGGGCATATCAGTGACTCGTTGGCGAGTGATCATGGCACTTTTTAATAATGGATCAATCCAGTATGGTGTAACGGCTAACATTGTCGCCTTTCATGAGAAGATATTCCTTAATTGGAAATTGATCACGAGCGCGACGGCTCAGGGTTCGATTCCCTGTACTGGAGATCCTTTTTGCTTGTTATTCTCTCGAGCATTTTGTTAGCACGAAGGGAGGTTTTCTCTCGGAGAATACAGGTACGACATTTCACAAATATGGGGTAATATTGGACATCAAATTCTCAACGAAAGAGGCCTACTACCCCGCTCAATTAGAGTTCAAGTAGAGTTTGTTTGCCACGCTTCTCGGACTTGTCGCCTTCACATATCCCACGGGTTGTCTCGCACGACCAACGTTATTGTGTACAGATCTATACGCAGTCGAGATAGTCATTCGCACACGATATTACATCCTCCTTTAGGATCGGGGTTCGATTCCCTATAACCGTGAATCCCATCAAGTTAAATTTCATTACAACAGTACAAAGTCTAGTCATAACGGGTCATGCATTTATCGTACGGCAGGTACATCAAAAGAAAAAACCGAGCAGTCAAAGCGTCAAGTACAATATACACCACCAAGCCGTCCCTGACACAAATCTCTATACGAAAAAAGAGCGAGGGTGGACGAACATATCGGTAAAATAGAAATACATACTATCAAGTGCCCGTAAAGAGAGAGAAAATTAAATTCGTCCGGATCGGGGACCGCCGCGGAATTCATTTGGGTCGGGGCCAAACTTGTATTTTAGTTGTTTTTTGAGTTGGCTTATGTCGACTGCTTTAGTGAGCACTTTGGTTGTTGTCGGGGGTGTCACCGGGGACCAACCGACGGGGCCTGGTCCGTCCACGCTATCACCCCGGGGTGGTCGGGGCGGGGCAGGAAGTGCCTTGTTTGTGTTGGGGTTGGGGTTGGGGTTGACATTGGTATTGACCCGGCTAAGCAACGGAGGCATTGGTTTAGGCGTGGACTTGACCGACGTCTGGGCAGTCGGCGTCCCGTCAGTCACCTCGGTGATCGGCCGACTTTCAAGTTCTAGGCGCTGGAGTTCAGTCTCCAGGTCAGGATTCGAGCACGTCCCTCCCTGGGATTGCACTATACGACTATTAGCAACGTTCCAACCTCCATCAACTAGTACCCACAATGCTTCTCCAAAGAATAGATGCCAGCAAAATGTCGTCCACATCCATCGCACGGCGCGACATTGCGCTCAAAGTGAAGCACAGCAATCGCGGAACGGCTCACGGGATTTTCCGGGTTATTGCCCCGGGTCGCCCTACGCGCCGAATTTAGCGCGTTTAATTAAGTGCAGGATCGACAGGGTACGTACCTTGCCGCCCTGATCTCTGCGTCCATCTGCGCCACGCTCGAGTTGGAAGCGACCGACTTGTTCTCATATTCGAAGCGTTCGTCAAGGAAACCTCGACTACGTGAGCGTTCCATTAGTACCGGTGTACGTTATGTTATGATGGACTTACGGCAGATTGGTAGGCGGCTGGGGCGTCAACCTACGCTCGTCCAGGGATAGTTGGTACTCCGAAGTGGATGCAGCAGTGGTCTTCGTGAAATTAGAGTCCAATCGGGGGGCTCGGCTAACTGCCGTCCTAGGCCTAATTCCAAGTCAGAAAAAAGTCCCACCAAATGTACTTTACGTACACTCGGGCTTGGATAGCCACATCAGCGGTGGCCGTAGTCGAATGAGCACTGTCCGGGCTAGCACCAGGTCCCGGCGATGGGGACGGGGTTGGAAGACCGGTCCCAGAGCCTTGTGCCTGCCCAGTGAGGAGCAACATGCTTGGCGTCCGGGTGTCGGAAAGCAGGGACATTGTCCGAGGCATAGATTTCATCGCAGATCGATTGACGACAATTAGTTTTAGGCTGCCCTTGGAATCGCCGTGTTCGACACAGAGCTTGTAAAGTAACTCTGAATTGAGAGCGTCTCCAACAATGTATTCGCCAATCTCAGTGCGGAAGATCAAGTACTGCGAGCGTTCGCGGTCGGGAATCTTGACCTAGGACCAGCGTGAGTTCAGGATAATAGCCAATACAATCGAGCCAACTTACTGCAGTCATGATCTTTTCCTTGATAGCTACACCAGTACCCACCCTGCTGACGTCCACAACTACATATTTCTCTCCGTCCGTGGTCACCACAATCAGCAATTTCCTCGAAAACGCCCGTGGCTGCTCGACGGGAGCTCGTACCGCGACCTTGACAAATTCATCGTCGGGGTTGGTGCTAGGAGTGCCCACGGGGGCTGGCGGCGATTGTGGTGCAAAGACCAAATGTCCGCTAGGATCTCGACCCTTTTGCAGTTCTCGAAGGCTAGCCACGACATTAGGCGCCGTCAGACGGGCTGCGGGCGGGAAGGCCCAGCAGCGTTGAGCAAGGCCCCAAAGTTCTTCATCAAGGTTGTCCGGTCGAGGTGGTCTAATACCCCGGACTAAACGTGCATAGACCGCTTCTTCACGGCGAATATCATAGAAGGGGACGGCGCGTGTGGCAAGCTCGACGATGACAAGTCCGAATGCGTGGACATCACCAGTAATGTTAATAGGCGGATAGGCCAGGCGAGCGGTACGAGATTGAGCAACAGTAGTAGGATCCAATGTCTCGGGAGGCGTCCAGCGGTTGAGAATGCAGTGACCAGTAATCTCGGCATAGAAATTAGCGAGGCCTGGTTGATGCAATAAGGTTTGGAGGAAGGTTTAAACGCAAAAAATACTTACCGTAGTCTGAGAGTAAGGCTTCCCCTTGATCATCAATCAGAATATTGGCCTTGAACCTAGTCTTAGTGCCGCATAAAGTGATAACTTTTGTCCGCTTACCCCTCTCAAGTCGGCATGTGGTATCCCTTGATCGTGTAAATAGCCCAGACCCAACGCGGTACCCATAAGCTTTACCGTTCAGGCCTCAGTAAGCTTCGATAGGGGTCAGAGTAGTGAACTTACGATCCTGACCGGGCTAACGTCCGGATTGTCGATAACAAACTGGTGGGCATTGCCACGCGGCATCCAGGGGGAGACCATACAGGATGTCATATGCTTGTGTGCAGTTACGCCCCAGATACGAAGGATGTTCTGATGACGAAAGTGGGCCCACATCTTGACTTCTTTATCCATGCGCTGTGGGGTAAACAATTCATGTTTAGGTTTCATCTACTTGGCTTCGAACTCGTGGACTCACCCGCTTAGCGCCCGTGCTACCGGCCGTACATCGGACCGCCTTGACGCCAACAGCATATCCTTTCAACTGCGCTTTGTAAACATCTGCATATGGGGTATATGCAATAGGTTGGGAACTGAACTGGGTGACCTCACCTATGGCATATAATTAGTAGAATTTCTCAGCTTAGCTGAAAATGACGTACTAGGCTGGAAGGTGTGTACGGGAGGAACAATCCCGGAACGCAGGTGTGCCTTGAGAAGTGCATTGTCCAGTTCCTTGTGTATTTTAGATGTTGGGGGGTGACGATACATTTCCTAGATTCAATAGAAGGTAAGTACATGCTGTATAGTGTCATAACCGCATGGGATATCTAGCAATCACGCGAGCACTCACCTGTTGTACTGCAGCCTGGAACATCATCACCTCATGCCTTGGTTTACTTCCAAATGCCTCCCAATAGTCCTCTCCGCGTGCAATAGCATTGATAGCAGCTCGGGCATCATTCTCGTTTCCCAACCGCGCAATTCGCTCGAGCTCAGCCTTTTCCTTTTCCATCTTTTTCAACCGTTCCATCTCAGCTTTATCAATCTTCCGCCCAGATCGTTCGGGATCCGTCTCGGCTGATCCCTTCCGAAGTCGGTCGGAATCTTGACCTGGCGGCATCATGGTTGGGGGACGTCGCAAACTTCCCTGGGGTGTAGGTGTCCGAGTACCAAAGCCCACAGGAGTGCCTAATCGGGGACCGGGAGTTCCATGAGGTGTCGGGAATTTCGGTCCAGGAGTTCCGGTTGAAGGAGTTTGTCCGGTCGGGGTGTTTCCTCTGCTATCCTGGGATGCGAGGGTCCGCCCTGCCGGTGGTGTATGGGACCGTCCGAGAGGCGATGGCTGGGCACGACGATCGCTGCTCGTTCGCTCTAGACTCAGTCTTGGCTTCTCTGGAAATATTGGTTGTTTGCTGTCGGTAAAGCCATACCCATACGAGGGAGGAGCTGTCTCGAGGCTAGCAGGTTGGGGTGTTGGCATAGTCATCTCGGGGTTGGGATTGGGGGGTAGGGATAGCGGAAGTAAGCTCTGAGGATTCGTTTGTGGCTGAGTAACAGCAGCACCCGCACCGAGTCCAGCAGCATTTTCGTACGACCCCGCACTTTCACGGCGCCCCTGGTCCCTGACTCGGTCCCCACCAGGCCCAGGGGCGTGGGGACCGATTGTACTTGCTCGAGAGCCGCCGTCGGAAGATCTGGGGCTAGGTGGTGGTTGGAATAGAGCATGCGACTCGGGCAGGAATGTGTGTACGTGTGCGATTCCGCGTGAGTAAGCCTCGTTCAGGGCACGGAGAGCGCGTACGATCTTTTCGCGTTCAAACAAGGCACGAAACTTGGAGAGATGTGCCGTGTGTGTCAAGAGGTTGAAGAATCTATTACAATGAGGAAAAGGTCAATCAGATTGATCAGTTCAGTGGGGGCGTACGTTAGCGGGATGGGGTGCGTATCGCGATACTCACTCGATAATGGTGTGGAGTTCCATCTTACCGCCCTCCCTACAGAAATCAAAGTCTTCATCGACATGCGGCTGGTGATTTTTGACAAATCGTAGCTGGCTCTGGAAGTCTACATGCCGCTCGTAAAGATCACGGCATGCTTCCTGTAAAAATCAAGGGTACATGCCCAGGCTGGGATCAGCGTCGGGCTCAAAGTGGAAGCAAACGAAGGGACTGTGTGTTGGAAATCAGAATAAGAGGGGATGCAAGCTGAAAGGGGGTAAAATATAATAAAATCATATAGCTACGCACCTTTTGCAACCACTGCCTCTCGTACAAGCGTTGAATATCGTCCAGGAGCTGCTCGGCCTCCTGCATATGCTCCTCCCCGTGTCCATCATCAATTATTTCAATCATTTGGAGTAGGTTGGTTAACCGGCAAGTATGGCAAAGACGGATTTAAGGAGTGAGATTATCCCAC